TTCAGATAATCAATTTTATCAAGTTTTGGATACTCATTCTCCCCCTCCTGCCTTCCCAGGATTGATTATTGTTCCTGTTCACCTGTTTGTGACTATGCTGATCTGTTGAAGTGAAGCCTTCTCTCCCACACCGGACAAACTTGAGATGTCACTTTTCAGAGGATGGAGGCTTGCTTGTGTGTGTAGTCATCCTGGGGTGACCATGGCTTTAGCAGGCTCTCTTTGGTGTTCACATTCCCCGATCTCTCTGTTATAGGGTCTGCCTCTGTCGGTAACACCTAGTTGTTAACTTCCACTCATTGCCTGTTACTTGTTCAGCCCTATTCTTGACATTGCTGAGGGCAATCAATCGCTCTACAGTCTGATCCAACCGAATTCTGACCCCTTTTCAGGAGTAGTTTTTGAGGCTAATATTTGATGTTTCTGTGAACCCAGAATAGCCCTTATTGTCTGTGTCATTCTCTAGTGTTCTCTGGTTAACTAGCTGGTGTACAGTTTATTGGTTTGTTCTCATGTAGCTACCAGGTTCCTCTTAATTGCTTACCATGACGAGTTCATTCTTCTCTCTCTCTCAGTGGAGAAAAGGGGATACACTTAGGCTGGAACTTTCTCATCCTTGGTCCCAAATCAAGTGACTTCCTTTGAGGAGAGCTTCATAGCTCTCTATCCAAGACTGTTCCCCTGCATCACTGCCCTGGAGCTGTGGGTGAGCTCTTACTCTTTCATGATTGGGGACAGCATGGAGGCAGTGGAAGTCTCTGGTCTTCTTTTTGCCTTTTCTCTTGTAGCATGGGGGCTCAGCTCTTACAGGTGATCTAGGAAAAGGATGATGAGGGCTCTCATTCTGCCATGCCCAGGGCACACACAGCTGAACTGAAGGCGGTTTGGGGGAGGGGCTGCAGCTTCTAGACCACATTTATCTGGATTTTAGCCTCTGTGCTGTGGTGCCAAGGGGAATGGGAGGAGCTGGCTCCTGGCCCTTCTAACCGGGAGCTTGGAGAGAGGAGCCTTGTCCTTGTAGCCATCCCTGCCTTGGGTTGTGCTTTGTCACTTTGAGCTGGGTGAGAGATGAAAGACGAAACAGGTGTTGACTCAAGTACCACAGACGCTACCTGTTCTTACCCAGATTTAGTAGATTTTCTTGAACAAATATTTCTTCACTTGCTGAGTGTCCCTGGGGCAATATTCAAAGGCTTTAAGTAGCTGTTTCTAAAATGTTTTTCAAGTTGTTTTGCTAGGGAGAGTATGGAGCTACTCCTACAGTCATTCTGGATATCTCATGTTCCCTTTTAAATATTTTTTTAATTCAAGTCCTGGCATATAATTCCAATAGAACCTGTAAGAGGTTGCCAAGGCAATTTAATTTTTTTCCTTGAAAAGCATTGTACTTGAGACACCTACATCGCTTCTCAGAGTGCCTGGGTACAAGTCCTAGCTCTGCTCCTTATTCTAGCTTCCTGCTGATGCATACCCTAGGAGGTAGCACTGATGGCTCAATAATTGTGTCCCTGTCACTTATATGGCAGACCCAGATTGAGTTCTGAACTCCTGGCTTTGGCCTGGTACAATCCCAGGTGCTGTGAGCATTTGGAGGGGTGAACCAACGAATGGAAAATCTGTCTCTGCTTTTCAGATGAAATGGGAATAAGAGTGGTGTACAAGTTCCTGTGGCTTTCTTTTCCTATAAGCCCCGCTGATGGAGTTGGACTGGCTCTTCAGCTGTGTTTCACTTGGACACTACTTGGACGTAGACACTGCTTTCTTCTCTGTCACCCCTGGATGTCCTCATGTTTTACGTCCATGTCTGGGCTTCAGATTTCTCTTTGAGGCACTGGATGTGGTGGCGGCGCAACTTGTAAACCATCTACTTGGCTTGTCCATTAAGCTTTGACTTCCTGCCAGCTCCCTGGCTTCTGTAAACCAGAATGTGGACGGTCTCTCTTGCTCAAATGTTGCTCTCCTCAAGACCATACTTGTTCTATTTGTGCATCAGCTTCATAGGCTGCAAATCTATGTAGCAATTGTGTAGAAAAAGGATGTATTAGGTTCAGCATGAAAAGATTTGGATAACTGCTTACCGTAGAACCATATATGCACACACACACATACGCATATATATTTAAATATTCATTCATTTATTTAAAAGTCAGAGTTACAGAGAGAAAGGGAGAGAGAAAAGAGAGATCCTCTATCCACTGGTTCACTCCCCAAATGTCCACAATGACGAGGGCTGGGCCAGGCCAGAGCCAGCAACCAGGAGCCTCATCCAAGTCTCCCATGTGGGTATAAAGGCCCAAGCACTTGGGCCATCTTCCATTGCTTTTTCAGGCACATTAGCAGGGGGCTGGATGGGAAGTGGAGCAGCTGGGACTGGAATTACCATCCATATTAGCACTGGGATGCCAGTCCTGCTGACAGTGGCTTAACCTGTTGCACAACAGTGCCGGCTCCCATAGAATCATATTTACCTGAAAATTGATCCCTGTTAAAAATAAGAGTGGGAATAAGAGAGGGAGGAGATGTACAATTTGGCACATGCTCATTTGGACTTACCCCTAAAGGTAGAGCTAGAATCGCAGGACTCTGAATCCATTAAGTTGGCATGTACCAATGCCATCTTACTAGTTAAAGTGAGCAGTTTAAGTTCATAATTGATCATAAAGATAGGATTAAGTGTCAAATGGATCATATAAACAGGATCAGTGCCTGCTAGTAATAACTGATAGAATTAAAAATGAGAGAACCAGCCGGCGCCGCGGCTCACTAGGCTAATCCTCCGCCTAGCGGCGCCGGCACACCGGGTTCTAGTCCCGGTTGGGGCACCGGATTCTGTCCCGGTTGCCCCTCTTCCAGGCCAGCTCTCTGCTGTGGCCCGGGAGTGCAGTGGAGGATGGCCCAGGTGCTTGGGCCCTGCACCCCATGGGAGACCGGGAAAAGCACCTGGCTCCTGGCTCCTGCCACCGGATCAGCGCGGTGCGCCGGCCGCAGCGCGCCGGCCGCGGCGGCCATTGGAGGGTGAACCAACGGCAAAAGGAAGACCTTTCTCTCTGTCTCTCTCTCTCACTGTCCACTCTGCCTGTCAAAAAAAAAAAAAAAAAAAAATGAGAGAACGATCCAATATGGGAAGCGGGATACACGGCAGACTTATAGAATGGCAAATGCCCTAAACAGCACTCTTGCCTCAGAATCAGCCCTTAAGGCATTCAGATCTGGCTAAAAAGCCCATGAGAGTATTTTAGGCATGGAAAGCCAAGACACTGTGGCAAAAAATGACCTAAATGAAAGATCTTGGTGAGTGAGATCCCAGTGGAAAGAATGGCCACCAAAGAAGGAGGTACCTTTCTCTGAAGGGAGGAGAGAACTTCCACTTTGATTATGGCCTTGTCTACATAAGGTCGGAGTATGTGAACTCAAGAGGCTTCCATAGCCTTGGCAGCTCATGACAAGAGCCTTGGGTAATTACTGACATCAAAAATAAGAGTGTCAATTGTTAAATCAACAAAAGGAGTCACTGTGCACTTACTCCCCATGTAGGATCTCTGTCCTTAATGTGTTGTACTATGCGAATTAATGGTAAAACTAGTATTCAAACAGTACTTTATAATTTGTGTGTCTGTGTGGGTGCAATCTGTTGAAATCTTTACTTAGTATATACTAAATTGATCTTCTGTATATAAAGATAATTAAAAATGAATCTTAATGAAGAATGGGGTGGGAGAGGGAGTGAGAGATGGGATGGTTTGCAGGGTGGTTATGGGGGAAAAAGTTATAATGCAAAAGTTGTACTTTTAAAATTTATATTTATTAAATAAAAGTTTAAGAAAAATCAGAAAACAAAAAAATCATATTTTAAGGCAGCTTTACCAAGATAGCTTCCTTGAATTGACTTTCAAGTTTGTATTATAATGGGACTGTTTGGAAAATAAAAGGCAAAATTATCAGGCATGAGGGTGTTTTTTTTTTATGAGAGGTGCTTATATTAGTGATTTATTGCTTTTTTCATAGCAATTAAAATCAATGGATATTTTATTAGAAAAGAGCTTTTTTTTTTTTTTTTTAAACAGGAATTAGAACAACACATAACCTCATTGTTACTTGGATTGTTTTTGGTCTCATTTTGGGGATCTAGGGGAGGTTGTCTATTTCTCTAATTATCCAATGTGTGAAACCTTCTGGGGCACACCACTTGGTAAATATTACTATGAAATCTATTTCAGTTATTTCACATCAGTTTTTCACATCATCCCTCTCACCCAGTGTGGGGAGCAACTCGGACTAGACTAAGTTACTGGAATTAAGACTTATTCTATGCATCTGCTCTCCCACAATATGGCGCTGGGAGAGGAGGAAACAGCTTTTACACAGCTGCCTCCAGTTCGACCAGTAACCTGCAGGAACTGATCCTGCTCCTGATTGAAGGAGAGCAGCATGCTCGGCGTGTGGGTAGCAGAGCACGGATTGGTGGAAGAGGATTATAAAGGAGAAGAGAGACAACATGCACCAGGAACATCTACCTGAGGAACATCTGAGCAGCCCCCGAGAGAGCCGGCCGGCGGTGTGCCGCTCCCCCGCGGAAGTGGGGAAAGTGGCAGGGGGGCCGCCCCTCCACGGAGGTGGAGGGACGGCAGCCAACCCGGGAAGGACCAGCAGCAAACCTGGGAAGGGCCGAGCAGACAAAAGAACAGCGCAGGGTCCTGTGTCGTTCCTCCGCGAAGAGGGGGAGCGACAACCCAGTTGTATCCTAGTATCCCTTTTAGATATTGGATATCACAGGTCTGAGATGAAAAGGATTTTTGAATCTACAATGAAAATAATTACAGTAATTTCTACCTCTTAGCATATCTAATTATAATACTATGAGACTGATTTTTTTGACCTGAAATAAAGATTTGATTCGTAAGGTAAACCAACACATGTAAGATGGGCAATTCAGAGTTTCACTTTAACCTGCTCTGTGGGGGTGAAATAATTGTGCCATTTGCCTCTTTTCTGTTCTTTAGGCAGCAGGAGCAATTCGACCTCTTGTGTCCACTGTCATCAGCGCCTCTGCTGACGGTTGCCTGGACCACTCATTGGAGCGCGCCACACACCGGGCGAGTGAGATGCCACAGGCCTTCTTGTTTGACGTGATCTATGAGGCCTATCAGCAGGTGAGAGCTGGGGCTGCTTAGCAAAGCTGTTCCTATGTTGGTTCTTATGGTTCACCGGACCACCCCTCTGCTTGGAGAACTGGTGAAACGTAGTGGATTCAGGATGTAGCTGCGTTAAGGGCTAAGGTTTATTACGTTAAAGTAGGAACTTCCAGTCTGGAGGAATCCACTTGCAGTCCTCTCCCTCCTTTTTAAAATATTTTTTTTTTATCTGAAAGACAGAAAGGGGGAGAGAGAGAGAGAGAATGAGAGAGAGAGAGAGAGAATGAGAGAGAGCCATTCTGTGTCCTCTGGTTCACTCTCCAAATGATGACTGCATCCGTTGATGCTGGGCCAGACTGGGAGCCTAGGACTCCACCTGGGTCTCCCACATGAATGGCAGGGGACCAAGTACTTGGGTCATCTTCTACTGCTTTCCCAGGCACATTAGCAGAGAGCTGAATAGGAAGCCGACTCAAAGCGGAGGTCTGATATGGGAGGCCAGTGTTGCAGGTGATGGCTTCACCCTACTGTACCATAACACCAGCCACTCGCACCCCACTTCATGCACTTTCCCTTCCCTGAAGTGCCATGCAAAGCACATTCTCCCCCAGCAATTAAATTGCACACAGCAGATGTGTGCAATGTTTGTGCCTAGAGAAAACTGTCAGACTCGGCCAAGGTGTTTGCTGGGATGTGACACACAGTCATTCTCTGGCTAACACATACAAAAATTCTGGGTTCTCAGAAGGAAAGCACATGTGCAGTCGAAACACTAGTGTTTATGCATCTGGTCTAGGTACAGGGAGCCACCTTCTCAGTTAAGCCCAGTTGCTGGCTGAAGGGTCTACCTTGCAAGCAGGTCTGTCCTCAGAGGGCAGTCTCTAAGTCCACTATGGCGGACATTCTGCACATCTGCTTGGACATTATGTTAATTAAAGTATAAGCTAAAGATAGCTAGCTTCTTTTGGAATATCAATTAATTCATGTTACTGGTTGTCTTGGTTTTTTTTTTTTTTTTGGGTGTGTACGCTTGGCCCCAGGGTTGCTCTGGGGAACAAGAAGAAAATCGCTGCCTGCAGAAAGCTAGAGCAGAAGAAGACCTTGCAGTAGCAGATCAGGCATTGGATTGGACCTACTGAGTCTGAGATTCCTGTTAGACACAGAAGTGAAAATGTTCATGAGATAGAGAGATGAATCTGGAACTTGCTGGAAAGGTCCAGCTAGCTGTAGATATATGGGAGTTCTCATCACACAGTAATTTAAAGATCTGTTTATTTATTTGAAAGGCAGAGTTACAGAGAGGCAAAGGCAGAGAGAGAGAGAGAGAGAGAGAGAATGAGAATCTTCCATCTGCTGGTTCACTCCCCAGATGGTCATAATGGCTGCAGCTGTACCGATCTGAAGCCAGGAGCTTCTTCTGGGTCTCCCACGTGGGTGCAGGGACCCAAAGACTTGGGCCATCTTCCACTGCTTTCCCAGGCTATAACAGGGAGCTGGATCGGAAGAGGAGCAGCTGAGACTTGAACTGGTGCCTATATTGGATGCTAGGATTGTAGGTGGTGGCTTTACCTGCTGCACCACAGTGCTGACCCCTCTCATACAGTAATTTAATGCCTCGGGGTTCACGGTCACCAAATAAGTCAAGGCCAAGAGAATGGAAAAGTCCAAAGGCTGAGTTAAGGTCCTGATGTTGGGGAGTCCGTACATTGGTTCCTGTGACTGCTGTAAGATGTTACCAGGAGTTTAGCTGATTAAATCAACACAGATTTGTTTCTTACCATTCTGACAATCAAGGTGCTGGCAGGGCAGTGTTCCTTCTGCAGGCTCTGGGGTACATACATATCTGTGCTCTTCTTTCTAGAAGCCTCTCTCCTCATCTCATGCCCTTTTTTTCCAACCCTCCAGCCTTCCAAAGTCTGGCTTTCATTGCCACATCCATTAGGACCAAGATCATCCTGCCTCCCTCCTATAAGAACCCTTGTGGGGACATCGTTCTCCCCATTTCATAATCCCTAAGGATGTCTTTACAGTCTCTTTGAGTATAAATTCACATATTCACAGATTCTAGGGAGTAGGACAAGAAGTCTTTGGGGTGGGAGTGCTATCCAGCATACCACAGGAGGTGGAGAATTAGCACACGGGTTGGAAGAATGGCCTCAGGATGACAGGGTGATGTCTGAGAATCCCAATGAAGAAGGGATTTCCCGAAGGATCGAACAACTGATTTATGCTACATAGGAAGTAAAACCAGATGAGGACTGAGAACTCTCGTAAACCTTAACTGTGCAAGACCACTGGTGTTAGAGGGGAGTGGTGGATGCGGAAACCTGGTGGAGTGAATTTAAGGGAATAGGAAGGCCGCATTTTGCAGGAGCTCTCAGCTGTACTGTGCAGAGAAATGGAAGGGTCGCTGGAAGCGGTTATGGATGGGGGAGTTTTTATTTTTAAAGCTGTGTGGTGTAACAGCATACTGATATGCTGGTGGGGTGACTCAGTAGGGAGGAGAAGATGGCGCTGGAGTGAGAGGGGCTGTTGAAGTTGACCTTGGCTGGAAGGATGAATATGAGAGGAAGAGTGTGTGGCTGCAGCTGCCAGTAGGTTGGTGGGAGGATCTGGAATCTGTCTCTTCTTGGTTTTGTTTTCTTGGGTCTGGGAAGCAGGTCATTAGCTGAATGAGGAAGGTGTATGAGGAGTCAGGCTTTGGGAAAGAGAAGAGCTTTGAAATGGTCAATATCATCTTTCATGCTTATTTCTTACTTTAGCATAAAAAATATAATTCTATCCCAAGGAAAATGTATCTTAGGGCTCTTTGAGTATTCATGGAAAACTGGGATAAAAACTTATACTCAGAAGAAAGAAACTGTAAAGCATTGACTAGCTCAGGGATTGATATGGCTTCAAGATACGGATGCAGGTTTGCAGGTTAATTATCTCTCCATAGAGAAGCCATTCCTGTCCCAGGCCCAGCCTAGGTAAGGCCAACTCGAAATGTCTTCTCCTTGTGTTTGACACCTTCCCCCTCTTTCCCAGCATGAGAATCACAGTTCAGTAATTATTTGGGAAGTCATCTGTGAAATGTCTCTGTACCCCTGGAGGCAGGGATATTTTATATTTAGCAGTCTTCCTGGTATTTTACGGAGACCAAGCGCATATCTGTTCATGGAGCCAGTGTAACAAGGTGTGTGTGCATACAAATACACACAAACAGGCCAACATATTGCCCTGCCCTTTGCCCGGGCCACTTTGCCTAGATCCCTGTTTCTTCTCTTCACATGTCCCCAGCTCAGAGAAGTCTTCCCTGATGATCTTGCAGAAAATGGCGGTCTCTCTCTCTCTGCACCTGTTTAGAGTTCCTTACTGGCTAGCACTACCTGGCACCTCTGTGTTTTGGCATTGGTTGCCCTTGCTGGGATGTCAGTCTCAGAAGGGCAGGAGTTTGTCTTGTCCTCTCTGCTATCTCTACAGCTGGAAGAGTTTGTGGATCACATTGGACTCTTAGTGAATATTGTTGAGTGAATGGACTTTGGACATACATATAGGTGAGGGTATTTCAAAAAGCTCGTGGAGAATTGAATTGAAGGGTGAGTTTGGGGGCAGGCATTTAGCCTAGCAGTGAATATGCTTGTCATGATGCCCGTGTTTCATATTGGAGTCGTTGAGTTTTATACCCAGCTCTGCTTTCTGACTCCATATGCACCCTACGAGGCAGAGACGATGGCTCAGGTAATTGGGTCCTTGTCTCTCATGTGGCAGACTTCGGTTGAGTTTCTGGATCCTTTCTTTGGCCTGGCCCTGTTCTGGCCATTTTGGGCATTTGGGGATGAATCTGTGATTGGGAACTTTTTCTGTCTGTAGTCTTCTCTCTCTCTTTCTCTGAATTAATTAATTTAAAAAGTTTATTTTGGTGCAAGTTTTGTTTTTTTTTTTTTTAATTCATGTATGCTATAGGGGTCTTGAAAAAGTTCATGGAAAACATACAAAAAAGCTATGCATGAATTTCAACTTTGTTTTGAACCAAAATAAGCCTTCATTTAATCTCCTATGGACTTTGTAAAATACCCTTGTATGCATATATGTGGATATATATTTATGTAACATTACTGTCAATCACTATTAACAGCTTTGCATTGGGTACAAGAGATTAACTTTTCTATAAAAAGTAAACATTTATACTTCTAAATCCGAAAACCTTTAAGAAATCAATCTAGAAAATTAGATATTCAGCAAAGTTTTATATAAAATTGATGGTTTGCTGCTTTATTGTAAGTGCTAGTTCTATTTCAGCCTATATTTCTAGGAATCAACTACATTGTGACATTCATTAGTAGATATTGTAAAGGGTCACTAAGAGTTATGTCTTTGCAGATGTTTTACTAAGTGTGCAATTGTTCATGTCAGGGTGTTACTTTAGTGATATAATGATATAAACACACATTAATTTATTTCTTCATGGTTCTAAAGAAAGTAGAAAGATTAGTTGCATGTGTGCACACTGAGGAGTTGTTAGTGCTTATGACTGGGTTAAAAATCATCAAAATGTATAAGTGTGAGAAATACTTGAGACACACAAATACTTAGGTATTTGTTTTTGATTGGTTTTAGACTTTTGCTCGTACGTAGGAACTTCTTGTTTGGTTTCATGGTGCTGCTGAAGATGATTTCCCTTAGCCACTGGGAATTCTTAATGACACATTAGCCAAAGATTTCTTAGGAAAATAACAATGGCTTTAAAGAATAAAAATTCAGTGGTGAAAATTCTATAGTCTCCAGGAACATGGAAAGCCCGGAGTCATCCAGAGTGTTCTTATTCGGACATGAAATTCTCTCCTGTGCAATTTCAAGAAAAGTAATAGATGCTTCCAACAAAGAAGCTTTTCAAATTACATAACCACATTTCTGGAGAAAATTGGTATGGTCGTCAGAGTGCCAGTTGCGATTCATTTCTGACACTTAAGTGCTTACGTGCACAGGATTTTAGGAGATGGCTTGTTCATTACGTCTCGAAGAGAGAGATTTGG